ATAAAAATAAATATAAAATTTTTATTTATTTATTTTTTTTTATTTCCACTTTATAATTTATATTTTTATTCAAAATCACAATTTTTGGTGGTTGAAGGGTTCGTTAAACTAGTTATAAAAAAGTCTAGCCTTATGTACTACAATACCTTCCTTTGCCAGCCATGCATTAAAATCAATCAGTATGACTGGAGGGCCAAGCCAGCTCCACCAATCACCTCGGATTTACATAAAAGCGTCTGAAGAATATCTACCGCCTAGAGCTGGCTGTGCAGTAGCATGGTGGTATTATAGTAATATCTCTATGGCAATAGTGAGAAGTTATGTCATTTTAACATGGCTGACCATGCAATAATAAAGTTAGATGTTCAATAGTAACCTTGGAAGCCATGTAATATTAGCATGGATGAATAATAAATGAAGCTAAATGTGTGGTTTAATAAACTTTGTTTATTGAGTATAACTAAATAACTCAAAATACCATCAAAATTCTTACTACTATTGTTGTATATTTACTGAGGTATTTAATGCTATTCAAAAAATAACCAGTTGTCAAGTTGGTGGAACAATAATATGAAATCATACTGTAGATTCAAGTCCCACAGCTGCACAAAAAAGTATACAAATTTTGCTGTAAATTTATTACCACAGAGAGCTGAATCAATACAGGGTTGTTCTTCCCTGGGGCTGTGCACAAAAATACAAGAAAAACGAAATTTCAGTTATATAGGTGTGCAGTAAAGTGTATGTTGGTCTTGTGCAAAAGAGTGCCACCTGGAGTATAGCATTGATCATAATAATAATAATGATACATAATAAATACTTTTATAGCGCTTTTTTAAAGTTTACCAAAACGTTTAATGTTGGAAAGAATTAAGTCTATGGCTTTCTTGAACGAGTCAAATTTGTCATGGAATTGCATTCTACATCACAGGCCCAAATTGAAAGAAAGCTCGTTCACCTGACACATGTGTATTACTACTGGGTTATACAATTTGATGATATACTCAGATCTGAGCCTACTTCTATAACACTCATAGTTCTGCATAAATTCATTAAGATATTGTGGTGCTACATTTGCTAATGGCAGTCATTTGTGCCTGCTTCTAGATTATTATATGTATAATATAAACTTCCTTTTTTCACAAAAACAAGTACAGCAGTACACACTCATTCAATCATTCTATTTTTTCTATGTTTCAATCAAGAGGTTGTTTTTACACGAGTTTCTGACAACATTATTATTATTATATGTAACTGCCCACCGACTGCCAATTATTCCAAATGCCACTGGACAACTCAATTTGGTTTTCTTGGCCTAATCAAATTCTTATGTATACCACAACATTTGTCTGATTTTTAAATCGTTCATAGCATTTTTATAGTTGTTGGTTTTGATTACAGTGAACTATCAAAGAAACTACCTTTGGAGGTGAAACAGCATACATTCGATGACCCACACACCAAAGCTCACCTACTGTTCCAGGCCCACTTCTGTAGGTTACAGCTGCCAAGTAGTGATTACAACACTGACACAAAATCCGTCTTAGATCAGGCAATAAGAGTGTTGCAGGTAATGGTGCATAATAGGCCTAGATGCATCTATTTGTTTCTGTTATATTCTTGTAATGTAATTTTATTTATTCATTCATTAGCCCTCAGTGTATAATTGAAAATCTACTTTGGCTCTTTACACTTTTTTATGCCCATCCCTGGTATGAGGGCCCTTGGATGTTTTCATAAAGCATACTGTACTTGAATATGGGCATACCCTCATTTAACTTTTTTTACCCTAGGGTCATGTCATTGACACTATTACGAGCCATGTATTGTTTAGTATTGATGTTTGTTAATGCATCGTTAATGTGGACTATGAAGCAAAGATGACCTATTTTTGTTCCTTGTGAACACCTTCATTTAAATTCTTTGTCTAAGACAATGTACCTTTATACCAGATGGATTAACTTTGACTATTTAAAAAATCCTAATCCAAGTGTTTTCTATTTTACCTTTGCTAGAAACAACACACTGGCACAACACTTACCACCTCCAAATGCACTGCAGCTTAAAGGCATTTTGCTTGCAACAAAAACTAGCTAAAAATAAGTTCTATTTAAAAAACTTAAGGGTAGATATAAAATATTACTGTAAATTAAATCTATTCACCATTAAACTTAAATCCCACATTGAATGCATTTTTAACTTAGATTTTCCTCTTTTACTGTGTTTTGCCCTGCTTTTCCTTATATCTTTGTACATTTTAAACATGTCTTTCCATTATGTGTAATTCCTGCATACATTGTCATGGAGTGGACCCTTTAGTAGTATCATTGCCGCTGAAGGAGTACCTTCAATACTATACTAAATATGGTTGAAATAAAAAAATATATATTAATTATTGATAAAGAAAATGAATAAAACTTGGTAATTTACATGTTATTTTCAGTTAAACTGATTTATGATATAGTGTCTGATGAGGTAAAATGCTTGAAATATAAAATATAATAATATATAATTTGGGCTGCTTTCTTTGTAAATATATTAAGAATTTTTGTAGTAAAATGTTTTCTTTTGTCTAACACTTGAATTATAACAAATTATTATTACTACAGTAAATGAGCTATTTTGTGTTTTAGTTTTTGAGGACTTTAACTATATCTTAGTATAGATACAAATGGTATATCTCAAATTTTTAAACATATTTAAAACTACAGGCTATGTTAGATGTAACCGCTGACAACGGTTTCCTGGTAACTGCATTGTCCACCATCAACCTTATCCAGATGGTACTGCAAGGCCGCTGGATTCATGAGTCTAGTCTTCTTACAATTCCACATGTAGATGCATCAACACTAGCATTATTCAAGTAAGTTTGAATTATATTAAATTTGTTGAACCTTTCTGTTATGTTTCTATGGTGTCATTGGCCTCGTTGGTGACATTGGCATTGTCATTGTTTTGATGAAATAGGACAAAGAAGCGATTTGCTGATTGATTTGTGGTACTTAGTTATTGTATAATGTTACCATTACAACCTTTAAAACTCTATCCTGTTACTATATTCAAGTTATATAATATTATAATACATTCTCCAAGGATAGAAAAAAATGTCTTTCGGGGTAAGGCAAGAATTTGTTTATACTCTGTTTAGCAAACCGGTCGCCCGCCGATAATGATGATTTAGAATAAAAATAAATTTTAATTTTTGGCCAATTAGCCCACCCGCTGCCACAAAAAATGGAAATTTCAGATATAATAATAATATATGTATATTTTTTCCAAATTATGTAAATTATATAAAAGGCATTTAACCATTCCATTTCTACACTGTTTACAATCACCAATACAAATTTATTTTTATTTTTTCTCCATCTGGATGTTTTTGGCAAAACTAATGACTAAATTCTTTTTTCTGTCCTCTGATGAAAGAAATAAGTTTGCCAAACAAGGTACCAAAAAAGTCTTGCCTAAAAGTGCTTTTGCAGAATTTGAACCCAGGGCCTTGTGATTTGAAATCGAGCATCTTAACCACTGTTCCATTCCACCATTCTTTTTTTTTTTTTTTTTTTGGAAAACTCATTTGACACTGATTAATATCAATTTGGTTCAACTGTGTTGGTTCCTTTTATAATCAGCTAGAGTATTTTGTATTTTAGAACACGATCAGCATTGATTGAAAGTTTGCCAGAATTAGTGCATCATTGCCGTGGTAACAAAGTGACACTTCATAACTTTCTTTCTGGCAAATTGAGTGACAGGCAGATAAATGAGGTAGGTTGTCACTTGTATGGTGTTGGTTATAATTAGTGAATCCACCTGTAATAATTGAAAAATAAATAGTTACAAAATTAAACAATGTACAATAACAAAAACTTAAATAATTTGACTTTTACTATATTAAGGCCTAGTTCAGACTAGGTGGATAAACCTGGCTCGACTCACTGGGTTTATTCACCTGCCAGTCTGAACTAGGTGGCTTATCTCAAGCCGGGCTGTGTTCCTATAGTAACTTTCCAATAATTGTGGCCTGCCATTTTGACTTTGTCTGATCTTGTGTTCAGATGACTAATGAATAAATCATTCTTATTATTGTGTAATTCCCTAGGCCTGGGATATGTTGCAAAAACTACCAATGATAGAGGTAGATGTGAACATACAAGGAGTCTGGGTTGACAGCACAGAAAATGAACAAAGATTTGTACCAATTTCTTTTATCAGTAAGTTAACATTTACTGCCTCCATCAAGGAGGTTATGTATGCACCACTGTCTCTGTGTTGGATTGTTATCAGGATTATCCGTGTGAAAAGGTCAAAGGTGGAGCTCACAGACAGTCAAATTCAACTCAATTCAGAGGTTATTTGCTTCAGTGTGCTGTCATAAAAGTTTTTATCCTCTGAAAATACATCAATACAATGTATTTTTACAGTTATTTACAACAATAGTAATGATGAAGTGCCTTGAGATTGTTTTTATCGTGGAAGGTGCTATAAAAATACATGACCATTGATGTGGTATATTCTGTCTCTATAGAGTGAATTACTATTTGGCATAATTTTGAGCACTTGCTTTATAAGAGATTTTTTTTAGTTGGTAATCAGGGACAGGGAGGAGGTATTTATTTATTTATTTATTCAACTTTCTTTTATGAGGGTAGCTCTTACAGCAAGGCTGCCCTCATGACAAATACAAACAAATACAGTAACATGAGTAAAATACAAAGAGCACAAATAACAATAGATTTTCAGTTAAAAACAATTTATAAAAGTTATTTTCAAAACAATGGATAAATTGCTCTAGATTAATATGAATTTAGCTTCATCCCTGCATTTGGATTATGTTGATATTACTATGTTTGCTTAATTGTTACTGTTATTGCTTGGTTCATAAGTAGAGTACTAGGTTGCAAACATAAGTTTGCAGTATTTATTCTACTCTGGTATGTTTATGTACTTTTTGCTTTTTAGGAGGGCTACCCAAGGATAAAGATTACATCCAGGTTCACACAGATAAGGAGTATGTGTTACTCATCAATCTCAGGCGAATCAAAGGAGGAACTGTAAGTTTACATCGGCTTCCGTCTATCAGCAGTGACACCAAGGGTTGGTGATGATGGAAAGAGCTCCCTCCCCTTATCTCATTGGACTGCTCTCAACACAGTTCGTTAAGGAAGAGAAAATCATTTTGTGTAATTCTACCACAGAATGTGAGACTCTAAAATTGATTAAAATACCTGTTCAACGCCATAAATTGTTGCGGAATTCTAAGTGGATTCTGGTGCCATTAATAGTTTTAGTACTTTTTTTGATAATTTTTCTTTTTACAATGTAAGTAATTATACATAAGCCACTTGGTCACGGTTAGAGGTACTTGTCCGGAAATAATTTAATAGGAGTTGGAACTTGTCCAGTGATACTGATACCAGTGTAATCCCGGTGATATCACTTAGTTGGAACAATGAATGCATTTTTTGAATGGTTGTTTATTAACATGAAACACATAATTAATTGATGTGAATTCTTACTATTTTTAACAGAATGACAAGAAAGCAGTAGCACCAAGATTCCCAAAACCAAAGAGTGAAGGGTGGTTTATGATCCTGGGAGATATTGAAAACAAAGAATTATTAGCCTTAAAGAGAGTGAGCTATGTGACTCGCACATCAACTGTTCAGGTCTCCTTCTTTACTCCTGAAAATACTGGTAAGAACTTCTTCAGCAAATAAGCATAATTTTTATTTTCATGTGCTGCACATTTTGTTTGTATGGCCCATTTAAATCAGCGTTATATATGGTTGAATATATAAATGAATCAATGAATAAATAAAAGGCAAATTGAAGGTCTAATAATAAATGAAAAGCATCTTATACATTTAATAAAATCTATGCTGTAGTCATTGTCATCATCATCATCAGCATCATCATCATATTCATCATCATCATTTTTATTAATAATAATTGTGGATATTAATTTCATTATTAAATCATGTGAATGTTTTTTTTTTTTTTCTTAGGTCAAGTGATATATACATTGTATTTCCTGAGTGACAGTTACCTCGGTCTTGATCAACAATACAATATTTGTCTAGATGTAGTAACAGCAGATACTAAGGTCAAAGATCAACTGGTGGATGATATATAGTATGATTGGGATAAATGAAGAATGCAGAATAGACAACTCAATTTATGGCATACACATCATCAATTAATATAAGTATATACAAGTATGTATAATGTATGTCTCTTATACACATGTGTACATACATATAAAAATTATATAATTTACAGAATTTAATTTTTAAAATTAAGAAATAGAATGTGCTTAGTAGTGTACTGCTTTATATTGTAAAGATATTGACCAAAATGTTACTGTACATTAAATGAACAATGTAAACAACATTCAATTTATGTTTATTGTGTTTTGCACTCTATCTCCTTTTTGAAAGTGAATGATCAGAAACTAGTATTTTTTAAGCTTTTCTGGGTCATACTCTAAAAAATGTTAATTTGTTTATTAACAGGAACAAAAACAAATCAATTATCAAAATGGTTTTGACTACAAAAAAATCTAATTTATGGAATACTTGTTAATTTAAGTATTGAAATATTACTGGTGATTTGGAAATACCCCTACAACGAATCTTTGGCGCTGTGTTGCGTTTGAGCATAGCATTAGGCCTTTGGGAAAAATGTCATATCAACACTGGGGTAAATGAATTGCCAACCATGGAATAAATTATTTCCCCATGGGCCAACCATGGAGACAGCCATGGAGGAATTAGTTTTCCTCCCCATGGGCCAATTATGTGTTCTGGTTGCCTTTGTTTCGTTTCGTTTAGGGCCTTTTTTTTTGTAGTCAATTCAACATCAGCCAAGCGTGTGGTCGCACAGCTACTGATAAAAACCCAGCTTTGTTCTCACTCAGTGGCTGACAGAGTCCTTATTATGGATAGGCATACGTCGACCATGCTGGTGTAATAATTTCGCTTCCTTGAGGATTTTTAAATGTAGTGCAACATAATTATTCGCAATGTTTTTACCCATAGCGAAGAGGTGTAGGCCTTCATTTAAAAATTTCATCGTACTTCTGGGGATTCTGTGTAATATTCAACTTTTTGCTTGGTTGATCTCTTATGAAGCAGTGTTCAGAAATCTACATCTAAAAGCATATTTTGGAAGTAAAACTAATGAAAGGAAATTTCCCGTTATTGACGATCACATGCCGCAACATCAAAATTGTAGTTGTCTGGTTCCAAATAGTGATGCAGAAAGTTGTTTTTTCGAAAACAGACTAGAGTGTGACTGCATGCCAACGATAAACTCCGTATTCGCCGACTATACAGAAAATCGAGTAGTGTTCATAGGAATTACATTCTTTGGTAAAAAATGGAGTGCTGAATCATTTTTATGTGAATTCCCAAATGGAGACAAAACGGTAACTGATCCAATTGTAAAGGACAGTCGGAGTTTTGGAATCATTCCTCAATATGCCCTAGTAATAACGTGCCCATTTCCAGCAGATTTTTCGAATTCATCAGCATTCTCTGAGCGGAGATTCAATATTAACTTACGAAGGAAGAAATTGCCGTCAGTCGCCTATGCTAAAATTCCAATATGCGCTTCTCACAAAAAATTTGGGCTAACTGAGGAGAAAAAACACTCACTGATAATATGTACAATGACGAAGGATATGGATGGTTTTTTCCCAATGTGGTTGGATTATCACCGTCATGTAGGAGTTGACCATATTTACATATACGATAATTCCAGAAGAGGGAGTTTACCGAATTCATTGAGTAGGTATACAGCTGACGGGTTTGTATCCATCATTCCATGGGCGCATGTATATACACCGTGGAAGAACTTTACAGAAGTCCAAATACCTCAGGAAAATGATTGTATATGGAGAAATAAACATAAATCAAAATGGGTACTCTCGATAGATGTAGATGAATTTATTCAGCCTATGGATCCAGATAAGCCATATATAAAGGACTACATAAAGAATTTTAATTTCACAAATATTGGATGCTTTAAAATACATAATTGGTATTTCGGATCAAGGTTCTATAAATCAAATTCAACCTCAGTAATAGAACATAACCGGTGGCGAATTAAATCACCAACACTTATTAATATAGGGCACGATAAGTGTATTATTCAACCTGAAAATGTTCATTATTTCAAAACACATCAAATTAAATTAGGTGGTGACACTCTAACACTTGACCCGTACAAGGAGCTCCGCCTTGTACACTACAGAGCGTCCAATCCGAGGCATAAAAGGGGGCCTAAATACTTCCAACTAAATTACAATGTTAAAGATTTAAGTATGTTAAAGATATGGAAAAAAATTCATGGTTGCCATAGACGTGATATCGAATGTCAAGAGTTATAATAACTTAATTTGCTATATATGTGTTGGTTTGCCCATTTAATAGCGAGATTTCGCAACCTTACGAAAAGGATAACAGATACGAATATGTCATGATCGTCATTCGTGCCTTAAACATCCTTGACAATACGAGCTGAATATGATGCTTGATTCATGCCAAAAGCATCAATTGCCTACGTTGTGACAAATAGGCTATACTGTAGAGAAAGGGTTGTTTAAAACTTTTATGACGTAACCGTATTCGTTATCTTAAGGTTGCGAGAGCTCCGTATTTTTATAATTGCTGTCATCATTTTATTAATGTATTAGTGGACAAAGAGTATAATTACAATAATTATTCTGAATTTATATAGCGCCTCACGTTGTCATAACCTCGATAATGAACAATGATGATTGCTCATAATTTTTATCTTATTTTATGAATGAATAGGCCTACACACACTGCTAACCCGTCCCGTAATTGTTATTATTGTTTGTCGATGTTAAAAGACAATAAGACGTTGGTTTGGAGACTTGCTAAACTTGCCTATATTAACTTCCGGCCAGTAAAAACGCTTAAGCTAATATTGCCCACTTTCAAAATAGAATAAGTTAATATTGATTGGTGGCTTTGCGAGTAAGTGTCCCTTTACGACAATAGTTTACGTCTAAATCAAATTTTTAAAAAAACCTTAACTATTCATCACACAAACTATATTACCTGCTCCCAAACCGGAGTATGGAGGATACGCCCAAGCCGCAGAATAAAGGTTAAGCAATATGATTCAACAATATATTTTAATATACACCAACTGTGTCGTAATTATTTAAATAGGTGACTGTTTTGTAAGAGATCTCAGTGTTTTGTCTTATTTGTATAATGCGACCTTATATTCTAAATTGTATGGTGGATGCTGTAATACTGGCCACAGGGTTCATACGGGTTTTGGAAAGTTATGGAAACTGATACGAGTGTTTTTCAGGACCTTGAAAGTCATGGAAAATAAAATTGATTATGGAAAAGTTATGGAAATATTCGAAAATTATGAAATTAAAGTAAGTAGTGAATAGTTATACTGCTGCATACCCAGATAGGTAATATGTGCAATTTATTTTCTATGAAATGAGGTCTTGGTAATGTATTTTATTTGAATGGAAAATTTATGTAAAAGGTATGGAAATTGTTGTGACCCAAGGTGAATGAACCCTGTGGCCAGTGAAAGTTGTTCAAGGTCGTCGTACATACAGGCCGGGTCATTTTTTGGTTTAAAAAAACTGTTGTATAAATGTTAGGCTTATTTTAATGAATCTAATTGTGAAATAGTGAAAAATACGCCGCGTTTATAACTAAGTATTAACTTAAAGATGTACTTATTGCATGAGCTTTCAGTGGCATCAGGTGTGTGAAGTAACAGCAACTAAGCTTAAAAAACTTTCATTTTTATTTTTATTGCTAAGAAATTACAAACACCTAGTTATATATCGGCCTTACGTCTGCATACATTCTTGGAAGTTTTGGCGTTTTTATAGTGTTATGTTGTTTGTGATCTAGTATTTTAATATTGTACTGCATTTTTTTTATTGTCTTTTTCTTGTATTCTAAAGATTGAAATGAAATTTTGGCGTTTTTTATTGCGTTTGGTGTTTTTATCTTGCATTGTATTTTTGTACTGCATATTTTATTTTATTGTATTTTTATATGAAGTATTTTGAATATTGAAATGTACTCATGTTATGTCCATTTTAATTGGACCAAATAGATTGAATCTTGAATCTCGGAAATTTATATTTTGTTAGTGGTGCTGATGAAGAGGATGATGTATATTATAATCTTATGTAGGGCCTAATTAATAGAATTGCAAATATATTGTAGATAGCTCTAATTTTTTTCGACCTGATTCAACAATAATTGTCATCCATATAACTATTTTCTTGATGATGTTATTGTTGTATTAATCAGGTGTTATGTGTATTTTTAATGTAACAATCATTATGTGAATAATTATAATAGACATTCATATTGTATAGTAGTGTATATATAAATGAATAACCTTTAACCTTTAGTCTTTACAGGCCTAGTGCTGTAATTATAATTTTTAGGAGCATCCTTTAATTACGTACAATGTCATTATCTCGTTTAGTGTTAATGTGTGGCTGCCCCATCTGCATTTTGCATGTAGTTAGAGCCTATCAGTGTTATATTTTGTAATTGAATAAAACTCAATTTCCATCCAGTTCGTTGTATCCGTTTGTAATTGACTGGTCTCCTGTAATTTTGTTTTGTATGCTGTCCCAGGGGGTATAGCTCTCATCATAGTTATCATCATCGTCGTCATCATCATCAATACCATTCTTATCATCACCGTCCTCATCGTTGTCATCCTCCTCTTTCTGATCGTCATCGTTATTGTTGTTATTGTTGATGACAGGTTTGGAGTCGTGGGTAAATGATCCAGAAATACACTTTAATATACACAAAATGTGTCTTAATTATATAAAATATATACTCATGTTTATTAAATGATTCTGGTTGGTCTCTTTTGTATGTTTTTTGGTGATTTATATTTATACACTTACTATTTATTTAGTTTTATATATATTATTGTTGTTCGATGTTTATAAATGATTTTAACTTATTGAGTATTTCAGTCCTGTTTTAAAATTGCCCCATGAGGGATAAAGAATTATTGAATTGAATTGAATTGAATTAAATTTATTTCATAATATTGCCTTTGAAAACATAATAATAATAGTAATTGTTTTTACATAATATTATCTTTACATATAAAATTACCGTACTATACTATGGACGTATCTCATTTATATCTGTTTCACGTGTTTGTGTCGAGTAAACGTGCTGTATCCGCATACACATTGTATATAGTCAGGGCCCGTAGGGGGGGGGGGGGGGGGTTTAAGGGAGTTACGACGAACCACCCAAAAAAGAAGGTCCGCATTTAAAAACGAAAAAATTGATATTCGTAGATATATTTACAATGTTCTCCAGAGTATCGGAGATCACACAAGCCAAAAGGTCCACTTTTCACTGAAACGAACCTCCCACAAATGAAGTCACGCTACGGGCCTGATAGTGTTTATACCTTCATGGTGTAATCAATCGCATTCGAATGTCTAACAAAAACCCAAGTGGTCCAATTGGTTAAGGTGTCTGCATATACTTCAGGAGACAGCGGGTTGGATTCGCTAATAGTTTCCTCTTATCATTTCCAGTTTATATATAAGAATTATACCGCAAGGCAGTTTATAGTGTATCTGTTTACATAAGACATTTGAAATAAAAAATTACCTCTCTAGAATTCCTGCCTTGCCGG